CACTGGACACCCTAGGTGTGACTTTTGTTATATAGACTTTTATGGTGATGATGAGCTTTATGAACATTGCAGAAGTAGTCATGAACAGTGTCATATTTGCTTACGAGCTGGAGTAAGAAATCAATACTATATAAATTACGGTGAATTGGTAAATATTTTATACTAGATTTTATTTAAATTTATATATTATGTTAATCCATCGATATTTTTTATTAGGAAAAACACTTCAGAAATGATCACTTTTTGTGTCTGAACCAAGAATGCCTAGACAAAAAACTCGTAGTTTTCGAAACTGATATCGATTTGAAAGCTCATGAGGTAAGTAATGTTCCAAAATTTATTTCGACAATTGCTCAAGTTTATAAATTATATTTCATGCTTATCATATTTAACCATTTTATCGTTTAATTTTTAGCTAGAAACTCACGGATCCTACGTTAGTGGGCAGAGAGCAAAACAACAGGCTAGGCGGATTGAAGTAAATTTTATATCTTACGGTGAATCAAGATTTAGGAATCGTCAGAGAAATCAGGAAAGGCAAGTGGTAAGTAATATTTTCATTTTAGATTATTTTGTAGCGGTTCACATTTGTTAACATGTACTATTTAACTTTCAGTCAGAAATTAGAAGTGAAAATAGAAGTGATGACAATGATGGTGGTGGATCTACAATTGAAGAAGCTGTTCAACAAATACGGAACATGAATATTTCAAGATCAAACTCTTCTTCGAGTGGTGGTACAAATGCCAATGCAAGAGTAGTAAGACCACCTCCAGGTTTTGGTGTTTTGTCTCATAATGAAGTTATCAGTCCACCAGATGAACCACCCCCACCACCTCCACAAAATGTCCAACGTAATAGAACTCCTAATCCTACTGTTTCTCGCGTGAGGGATGATGAATTTCCAACATTAAGTGCTGCATCCAGGGTCACTAGTAACGCTGGCATACCTCCTAGAAATTATAGTGAAAAGGTGCGTGGCAGCAGATCATTAGTGACCAATAAGTCAAATCCTACGTCGCAGCAACGATCAACGTCAACTGGGAAAGGCAAAGCATCAACATCAATCATTCAACCCATGCAAGGTTCAAGCAGTGGTTCTTCCTCAAAAGGAAAAGAGTTGGCACATATGAACACGGAATTTCCCGCGTTGGAGCCTAGTTCCCCACCTCAGAAGACCGTGACAGTAAATAAAAATCTTAAAATTCGTAATTCGAATAAACCAGCGTCTCGTGTTCTAGTAATAAAATCTTCAAGTGGTGCGCGACCTAGTGGTACTTAGTATTTGGTTCTGGGCAGACTTCTTATTTTGGATTGTTTTAATCCTTAGAAATAGATGTTTCCTCTTAACTGGGTTATATTATACACATTTATTAGTTTATTTGAAAGTTTGATAATTTGATTTAATAAATGAACGCCTATTATAATAAACCTGTGATCTATATGATCGATTAAAAAAGAAGTTCGAAATAATATTTATTTTTCACACAATGATATCATTATTCCTAATCCACAAAATAATACAATTTCAATTGTCCCTATAAGTTTATACTAGATAGCACTATCGTCACGATTTGATAATTATAATATGACAGGATGAAACCCACGCTGTGAATTAGTAAAATCCGCTACGAAATCACATGAGGGTGAAATTCGCTTTTGCATAATAAAAAACGGATTTCACCCTAATGTGATCTACGTAGCGGATTTTGGGAAAATTATCAATGGAGCCAATGGAGTGAATGGAATAGCATCTATTGGCTCCATTAACTCCATTGAACCAACCAATCATATTTATATTATTATAGTAGTATATAATTATATTTTAATTTATATAATCACTAATAACTTTTTGATCGACTGATCCGTTTTAGATGAATTAACTACCAATATGTTCGTCTTCATGAGAGAATTCTAGCAAAGTCAA